CATTTTTCAGTTATTGATCACAAAAAAAGTTGACACAGCAAGTTTGTATTTGATGTAATTTGATTTTGGCCCTCGCTTTATATAGCAGCAGAATACTTCACAATGTCTTCAATCTCTAGCTTCTAAGAAAAATATAGCTTCCTCCCCCAAGTTGTAAATTGCAGTGCATTTTGTGCTATTGATTATTTTGTAATGCCTGATACAGATCTGTATTTATCACATGTAAAACAAAAAAACATCTCTCAGCTTGTGAAGAATGTGGTCTGTATTGTTCTCAGATGTAGTAAAAACAGACTACAGACAAAAACAAAAACACAGATCTGAGTCCAAGAGGCAGATTTGATCTACGAGCAACTGAATCATCAAGGCCTTCTCTAAGTCTTAGTCCTGGTGGCCAGAGAGTACTTAACAGCTGACAAACCAGCTAGCAGAATAAAACAGAACAGAAAAAACAACAATACTAACAGGTTCACATCTGGATTCTAAACTAGTTTAAAGGGAAATTACTGAATAAAGTGAAATAACAGGGAAATATTAATTTGTGCAGCGGTGTTCATGATACTAACCATTTAATACACAGACTGGTCCGCTGTCAATGTGTTTGCGGGAGAGAGAGAGAGAGAGGGAGCGAGTGAGAGGAGGTGCTGAGCGAATATGCGCTGCAATCAAATACAAGTTTTCCCATATTAAATAGTAAAAAAAAATGGAAATCAATATGTGGCAGTCAGCGCTGATAAGGTGGTGGGCCGCCACAAATAAATGAATGTATGGGAAACACTGTACTGGATATCAGTCACCATATTAGCCAGTAAACACAAACCCAGTGATAAACAAACATAACTGGAGTTGACTTTGGGCCGGGCGCGTGTCCGATGAAAGCATCTATTGATTGCACCATTTTGTTAACTTTCATTTCTTTCTCTAGGTATTTACCCCATTGAGGCCATACGTGCTATTCCCACTACTAGTATTTATTGCTGCTCTTACTAATATCCAGTGTCACTTGTAGATCTCTTGCTGAATTGATGCTTTGTTGATGCTTGTATGTTGTTTACATTTATTCATTTAGCTGACGCTTTTATCCAAAGCGACTTACAATTGCTATATATGTCAGAGGTCTCACGCCTCTGGAGCAACTAGGGATTAAGTGTCTTGCTCAGGCGTCTTACCCATTGCGCCACCACCAGCCCCAACGTTGTTGTTCCTCAAATGTAAGTCCCTTTGGATAAAAGCGTCGGCCAAATGAGTAAATGTACATGTAAATGAAACAAAACTGAATGAAGCCCTGCCCTGATAAACACTGAACAAAAGCACTGAAACCCTCAGCAGCTCACTGGCTGACAGTTGAAGTAAGCTGACAGCTATAAATGTGTGAAATTGTCAATGTGAAAGTTCTTTGGTCCACAAACTAGCTAACTCCCAACTGACTACTGTAAGTATGCACCACCGGGGAAACAAACAAGCAAACAAACTGTTTGCATGAACACCTGTTGTCTCTCTCTCTCTCTTTCTCTCTCTCTTTCACACACACACACACACACACACACACACACACACACTGTAAAATCCATGTTTAGCATGGCATAGCATAACAGTGTGTTGTCAAATGTGTGTTCTGGTATTCACATTACTCACTTCCTCGGCTCATATAGTTCAGTCAGGAACTAAACAGATCTGACCCTAGTGCAGCTGGTATAGTTCAGCGAGTGCATGAATGAATGGATGCAAAAATGGAAGTTTATAAATCATTATGTGAGCAAAGTTCTTTCTGAATCCACAAGGAACTCGGCATGTAAAAATGTCCTATTTCTGTGAATTAATACAAACAAATAGGTAGTGGTAAAGTTAAAGATGAGATTATTGTGTCACGACAGGCTATGGTCACGTAGGGGATAAGATTGGGGAGCAGTGAACAGGCAGTGTTGATTACTGGAGAATGATGCCGTGTTGACGACTATGTGCAATCCATGCATTATCTATACTCTGAATTGTTTGGTGTGCAGAAAAGCAGAGGCATTCATGAACAAATTTCATAAACAAAGAGCCAGGTGCTCTATTAAATTAAATTATCCATGCCAGAGTGTGTGTGTTATTGTGCATGGCTTTGAAAATATACAGCACATGATCCAAATTAGAGGCTGCAAGAGGAAAGCACATGTCCTGCTGCTTTTAGAGGACTACAGCAATCTAATAAACTTATGTGATAGGAAACTATTACCTATTTCATCTGTACCTATGTGTGCTTCCGTGTTTCCCCTGTAGGCATTGATAATGGAGCAAAATTACAGAATTCTCTACTTTTTATTTTTTATTTCAATCAAGCAGTGAACTGCAACTTAGCATCAGTGTTAATAAATGTGGTAATAACCTTACATTCTTGCCCTATTTTCAAAATAAAGTAACAAAAATAATACAACAAGAGTAAAGACAGAGTACTCGCCAGGAATCCACTGACTCCGGGTACGACACGTTATGGCTGCGCCACGGCTTTTGATGCGTCCATAGCCCGGCCACTGGAAGCATCTCAGAAGCGTTTCAGCAGTGGACCATCTGGTGGAGTCACAAGCATTGGCAGCGATTAGCGCTGGCAACCGTGGCGCAGCCTTAACGCGCCGTAGCCGGAGTCAGTGGATTTTAGGGGTAGCAGCTGTCACTAAATATAACCTGAAACTAAAATACCTCAAATATATTAAATATGAGCGTGCACGTGTGTTTTACTGATGTCTCCTTTTTTCACCCTCTAATTGCTCTAATTGGAGCATCTCTACTTCTCTTCTGCCAACGAGGAAAGTACCTGGCACACACAGAGACTCTTATTCTAGCCACGTAATCATATACTGGGGCCAAAAAAACTGTAATATGATGAAATTAATATGTGCCTGCATGCAGTGTGTCAGTATGCATGTATTTTATCCTGAAGGTGCTCTCACTGGAATGCTCTTATCTGGGTCAAATGTTGAGTTGGCATTTTTGGACGATGCTGTGTGTGTGTGTGTGTGTGTGTGTGTGTGTGTGTGTGTGTGTGTGTGTGTGTGTGTGTGTGTGTGTGTGTGTGTGTGTGTGTGTGTAGTATACCATTAGGTGAACAAATCTGGCCTTTGTGGTAATGATAGGGGTGGCAGGCTGCCAGGCCGACAGATAATACCACAGTAGTTGGTGACTGAGTGATTTCAACTAGAGGCTGTTTCACCTCAGCAACGGTCCTCACACTGCAGGTTGGGGCTCCACTGGCGGTCACAACAGTGATCTCAGGAATGTGAAAATGTATTCTTTGAAAGCGTGAAGTCCTCGTCTCCTATTTTGTGTATGTCTTTGGTGGTCATCACTCACTTTTCAATCAAATGTGTTCGTGGCAATGTGATATCTCTTTTCTTGTTTTTTCTGTAGATCAAGTTTTAGTTAATTTTACTTACAATATTCAAAAGTAAATCATCAGTCCTTCTCAATTTTTTTTACCCTTTAGTTAATTTAGTCCACAGACACTTGGATGTTGGCCCTCCATCTAGACACCACACAAGGAAAGTGAAACAGAGACAAGCTGAATCTGCACTCTAGGGTCACAAACTCTGATTACAAAGTCAAAAATATTATAGAAATAGAAAATTATCCAAAAAGAAAAATGAAGCAAAACTTGCTTTATGATATATCAATGCATAAGTGTTTCTAAGTGTGTAATACAGTGGACCACGGACATTTCTTATTATGACTGGCCCATATGAGGGTAATTTAATTAAAATATCATACAATTATGGCTTGTTTGACAGAAAATGTACATCAGAAATGTTCAGGGCTTCTGTGCTTCTTCATTAAGTTTTGGTGGTGATGTTATTAAGCCTGGCAGCTTGGCAGAACTGGTTTATATTTTAAATCGGTTTAAGGCTGTGATCACCATGATTGGTTGATTCACTAAATAAACCACTTTAGTAAAACATGTCATTCCTGTTTTGAAGAGCTGACAAAGTCTATGATGGTGACACTATCAGTGCAAGGCTTATTTTTATTCATACCGTTTCTTTTAACATCTACTGTTCTTGTCCGATTTCTGATACTTCAAACATTGTTATCACATCAAAACATGTATGCTCCTACAGGGGAAGTGAACAACAACAAAATATAATTTGCCCAAAACTTAACTTTAATCATCATTTCAGATGAGCTAGCAAACTGACCAAGAGGAGCCTATGATTTTATAATCCCTGCTTCCTATAATTCTATTATAATAATTTAGCCAAGAGAACTTGTCCACACTGTGGATTGAAGCAAACGTGATGCATTATTTTGGTTGCAAACTGGATACTTTGTCTGTGCATACACACCACTTTTGATTTTGTTTCTTGTATATTTATGGCTTTAATATAATACAAAAAGCAGTTGCAAGGGTCAACAAGTCACATGTTCCTGTGTTACATATTAGCTTCAGAAGAGTCACTAAAATAATCTCTTCACTTGTTATAAACTGGACTCAGTTACCAAGACAACAGTGAGATTTCACAGTATAATGCATGGGAAAATGGGGAAACAAAGGAAACCAGTCACAGACACAAAGAGACTTACACACACATCCATGCATACATACACACTTCTAGAAGTGATTAAACCCAGCAGGTCTGCAGGCCTAAGCACTCTTCTCCTATTTACTGACAGCTTTGGAAGTGTTCACATTTGTGTGTGTGTGTGTGTGTGTGTGTGTGTGTGTGTGTGTGTGTGTGTGTGTGTGTGTGTGTGTGTGTGCGTGCGCACCACACTATTGTCCTCCACCAGACAACCCCCTCTCCCCCACCGGACCCCCCAGGCATAAGCATGTCTTTACATGACACTAATGCTATCTGTCTCTGTCTTTCTGTCTACTACACAGGGGTACACAGGGAGAGAGACAGACAGATGGAAACCTGGACACTAAAACATGGAGCCAGAATCAACAAGCTGATGGAACAGATAAGGAAACATAATGTTTGGTCAACTGTGCGTGCGCGTGACTGCCTGTAGGTGTATTGGAGTACCTCTCCTCCTCTCTCGCTCCTGGAGGAGGCGTAGAGAAGTGAGAAGGTGGAGGCGGTGGAGGTGATTGTGGACTCCAAGCTCCAAGAGGTCATACTCTGAGAGGTGAAGCAGGTCCTGGAAAACATAAAAATGCAAAGATAAAGTTAATCTGAAGAGATGTGCTATAGATAATATCCTGTGAACTTATCTGATAAATAATTTTGATATTCACACTGAACAACTGTAGTGTTGAAGAACTGATCTAATTGAGTCGCAACACCCCTAGCGTGCAGCTTTCTACAGCTTACAGACACTTGTGTTTGGTTATGTCTGTGTTGCCGATTCACCCCACCACTCCAACCCACTCCCAAATACTAAACTGTCACCAGCCGCTCCCTACCACACACACACACACACACACACACACACACACACACACACGCACACAAGCTCACAGAAGCTGCACCAGTTAACAGTGAAATATGGCAAACATTAAAGCAATTGCTTGTGAAAAAAGTAATATATCTTGCAAATGTTTCGGGCATTTCATGATTTTGCTTCATTTCAGAAGTTGGCAGCAGTACTCAGCAGCCTGTTATTGCTCTGTTTTCACTACCTGTATTTACTTAGCATCCTCAAACATCAACAAGAGTAGGGTAAGCTGAATCTAGCAGTATGAGTATGACTACTGAGTTCCACACTGACTGATTTATGACACTGAGAAGACAGGTTATAATTTCTGACAAAAAATGTGTTGCTCAGGTGCTAGGGGTTAAACCGTTTGTCATGAAGACTGTGAGTGAGGTATTTCAGAATACAACTTAAAATGACACTTCATTTCATTCCAATCACAAAAAGCAGAGACGCTGAACCTTTAACACACAGATTTTCTCACAGGAAAGAGACTGTTGTGTTTGGGAGAAGTTAAGAAACACACAGTTTGTCTTGGTGGCTCCAGCAGAGCAAAAGAAAAATTGCTGAGACTACTGGTGACCTCCTATCTTCCAAAAGTGTGCCGTCTCCTCCCCTCATCCTGCTCCTGTCATTACAGCATTGTCTTGAAAAAACACACACAAAAAAACACACCCTGCCTCACTCCAACCCTCACTGTAGTATTAAAGTAAACGACCCCTACAATAGCCCAGTGAGGGAGAGCCACAAAGTCTTTGAACCAAAACTCAACCTAGAGTAATGGAGTACAAAACACACACACACACACACACACACACACACACACACACACACACACACACACACAGTGTCATCATAGGACGCTCCCAGCTCAAACCAAGGACTTGTTGTTTTGGTTTCTCAACAATACAACCATTCTCTTCACGCTCACAAACACTGCTCTATTTAGACTGCACACACATACAGTGGGCAAACCTATGAATATACAAGCGCGTGCACACGCGCACACACACACACACACACACACACACACAAAAGGCAAACTCATTTAGAAACAGTTTACAATCAAATAACAGTCACTCTTAGTCACATACAGCAAGTTAGAAGTTCTACAAGCATCCACAAACACACACATACCTGCATTAAAAAAATAGGCAATTGCACACATATGCACTCAAAGTCACTAGAGGGTGAAACCAGAGGGTGACACAGGAGAGGATTTTCACTCCTGTCCCATCCCCCTCCCACAAAAAAACCTGTCCATTCTCATCCCATACCTGTTAAAAAAATCTGAAAATACCATTTATTCATATTAGAATTACATATATATTTTTTAAATAAATTGACCTATGATTCCCATCCTGCCCGCTCCCGTTGACCTTTTTTCCTGTACCGTCCCAGTCCCACCATGAGTGGTTATATTGACTCCCATCCCGCGAGAACCCCACAGGAATCCAATGACCCACAGGATTCCTGAAAAAATGTCAGCTTCTAAAAGTCACCCACTCACATACATAAACATGTGTACACACAGACACACACAAAAGTTGCAGAAAAACACTGTTTCCAAAATAAATTTAAAATAATACAGACAAACACATAAAGCAAACAAGTGTCTGAAAGCCACAAACACTGCAGGAGGTGCAGGCACACATTAACGGCCACGTACACACACAGCAGGTCATTACGGTCAACTTGCCTCGACAGCTCAGTAATAACAATTTAGTAAGTTAAAGATGAAGACACTAGATTAGTTCTGCTGATGTTAACATGTGTGTGTGTATGAGACATGGCTGGCATATCACAAGCCTAATCTATCTCAGAATCTATCTCCCCCTCCCTCTGTCATTCTCATCTCCCTCTGTGTCCAACAGCAAGTTGACATGTTTTCTTTTTTCTTTCTTTTTCAGATCATGCAGAGCTTGAACAACAATATGAACTCTCATACCATTCCTCTGGAGAGTTGATATAGCTGTTGTCAATGTTGGTTTTGCCCGCGTGAATGTTGTTGCAACGATGAAGGTGCTTGTGAGTAAAAAGGGCGAGCAGTGTGGTATAGATAGTGCTGGGCAATTTAGACCTCTACAACTAAATTTATGATATTAACATAAATCAATGAGCATGTAAACTTGGATCTTACACAGAACTTCTGCAGGCTATTTACTAATTGTTATGATTGTACGTCCTGACTTTATGATTTTCTCTGTTCACACTACTAGTGAAACAACAGAAAAGAGTTGCATATGAAATAAATTTTTCCCTACTAAACAAAATGCTGTACATTCACTTCATTTATGCAAATAATATTGGGGTTTTATGATCACTAATGAAATGCAAAATTGACTAACTGTTTTCTAGACTTATTCAGTGGTGCATCTAAACATTTTATAGGTCATAATTAATTACACCATACTAAAGAGTTAGTAGATTTGGACACTTTACATGCATGAATCTGTTAGTAGTGTTGATGATGTTGGAAGAGTTGGTTTTACCGGCATGTTGTGTTAACGAGCAGCCTGGATGACTAAGAGGCACTGAGCTGGATATTATTGTTATAATATCCAGAAAAAGTTTAGCAACGCTGAGCCAACCTCTTTGTGCATGGAGGATAGTCAGTATGTATATTCTTAGTTCTTATGCGCCCTGTAACTGCAATGCATTCTGGATAAACATTAACAGGAGGTAATGGAATACTTCATGTCTTATTGGCTGACAGACTGAAGTTGGCAAATGGCTGGCTGTTAAAACAGCCCCCACATCTCTGTCAATTCAGCCTAATAGGACCATGATGAAGTTTTATTAGGGTGCTTCATTAGGCTGTGGTGGGAAACACTCTTAATTATAAAAGTGGGCTTTACCAGAATATAAACATTTTCTTATACAACATGGTTTCATCAAACATTTACAGAAATCCCCTTTAAACAGACATGTTACAGGGTCAATTCTTCCAAATGACAAGAAACACATTTTTTTACTTAACCCTAATGGAGTCTGGCCATTCCGACAGTGTCAGTTTTATGTGCTGAATCTCGATATTCAGCACATCATTTCTTCGGTGGTTTGTTCACAGCAATGCTGTGAGCACCACAAAATAATTTCCATTACACCTCATTGTACTGGGGTAGAGGCAGAACTTTCTGAGACAGATATCTACCAAAACTTTTCTCATGAAACCACTATGGATAGGGCTTTTTATAATATGGGTTAAATGACCTCTTTATATGTTGCATTTAAAAATGTGTTGCTACAAAACTAATTCTGGCACTTTTGTACAATTCATACTTACAACTGAGACTCTGTTGAGGACTACTTGTTTGACTTTTTTTTACACTTGTGGTATAATTAATGCTACTCATTTCTACGGTTGCCCCGTCTGCCCTCAACTTATGGGTGCGCTGTGGATAATCATTGGGATGCATTTGGGTATTGTTCTGACCGGAAAACATGGCGGCTGTCCTGAAAACTCAGTTTACACGCAGCAAAATCTGTTTGGGTAACGCAAATTCTGAATCATGCTTAATTTTACATTCAGTGTCTGTTCGGGTAGTTAATCAACAACTGGTTGGTTATTCAGGAGTTGCAAGAAAAGGATAGTCTGATAAAACACTGTTTACAACCTATGTTAACATTTTCCTGACACTCTTAGGGATGTCGGGTGTATTTAAGTGACTAAATTAAAAACTACACCAAATCTTAACCACAGAGGTGCTGGATCAGAAAACGATTATGAATCATTCTTATCTTGGTGAGACCAGATCAACAAACAGTCATATGGACAAACAATTTATTAAGTTGTTTAGTTTGAAGGTTGAAGTTAAAATGCATTATCATCAAACCACTCCACGTCCCCCCAGCTGACAGACTAAATTCACAGAAAATATATTATATACCTAAATCCTGCGGCAAAGAACTGCCCTTTGACCTGTCGCAAGGTTTATCTACCTTTGCTACTCAGAGAAAGCAGATTTTTCAGCAAATCTGACATGACGGCTCTAAAATGCAGAACATAAGCTGCCAGTCTTTTATAATGTCTCATTAGTGTGGGAATGATTAAAAGCGTTAACAATCTACACCTCTAAACAGTTTGCAATTGTTTTAGTACCTACATGAAGCACAGATACTCATCCAGATTTTCTCAGAAAGTCTTTAGATTTGTTCCTGTAACCTTGTAGGGAAGTTTAGTCTACTACTGCTTCAAGAGTTTTCTTAAGAAAAGGCAAACCTGTTTTCTGCCATTATATATAAATAGTCAAAATAAATCAATAGTTATGTAAATGTCTCTCTAGATTTTGGCAGGCTTGTTGTTTGGGTAGGTGTGTTTGTATTACCTCTACACCATCATATTCCTGCTCCATCGCTGAGCAGTATTGTGGCAGTCCCAGCTGGCTCAGCCATCGGGAGATAGACTGGTGCTTCATTGTGATGCATGTACGCAGATGCACACACACAATCTGCCTCTCACACACTTCTTTCAGATGGAACCTGAAACACAGGGGGAAAAAAAATAGAAGATCATTTTAATTTTAATTAATCCCAACAAGTCAACAAAATATGAAATTTATGCCAAAACTATAAATTGTGAAATGTTTATTTTTTAATCTCACACAAGATTCGATTCAATGTTGTGTGATTAGTGTATGTAGTCTAATTCTTTTTTAAAACACATACAAATTAAGATTAATCATCTCGTCTCTGCTCAGCAACCTTTCACTGGTAATGGCACCGGAATCTGACAGTTTAGTATTAGTTGGCTTTTACATGATATGAATGTTCACATCCTATTATGGTAGGTCAGGGAGAGGAAACTGTGAAATGCAATCACAGACAAGATGTGGGAGGTTTCACTGAAAATATCAAAGCCATTTCAGTCAGTGTAAGACATAATTTGATACTTTCCATGGGTTGTTCACAAACTGTACTCCTCTCTTTCAATACCAGACTGCTAAAAATATCTGTAGAAAAGATGATAATTGGTTCAATTCTATAATGTGAGCATAATCTGGTTGGGGTGTATTTATGCAATGACTTAACAGGAATCAGACTTGTGTGTACCAATTAAAAGCAGGTATTTCAACCAAGCAGTATTAAGAATCGCTGAAGAATAGGGCAAAGTTAGAATTTTTGCAATGTACAATCTTTGAAAACTGTAATGTAAAAATGTAACATTTAAAGTAAATCAAGGTATGGGAGATCGGTCAGAATGTCAGGAAACCATCAACTATTTCTTACTGTTTCGTCTGTGCAGAACATGTGGTAAACAGAGAATTTCCTTTTTTACAGGGAGGCAGTTATGTAGCCAAGTCTCGTTCTTTATCAGTCTAATGGGCGATTAGCGCCAACACTACAGGCGCTTCAATGCTGTGAACACCCCTTGGTGATGATGTCTCAGTCTCAACAAGAAGGCTGATAATGAGAATCAAATTCTGTGTCTGTATCTGCCGGCAGTCAAGATAGAGCCACAAAACATTAAACAGAATGTTCAGGAAAAACACCCATGCTGATTATTACCATTTATCATTTTTACCCAGGAGCACTGGGCTGTCACTACTGCAACACACACACACACACACGGTGATAAAATTATAAATGATGTGGACAGTGCTAAATGTCAAGATAAATCAAAGATAAATCCTATTAACTATATAGATAAGTGGAAAAAATCTTCTGAGTTAAGACTGGCTCCTGAACAGAGCCAAACAGAACTGAAAAAACAAGTGGCCATTAGAGACTACTAGGGATGTCCTGATCCAGTTTTATTAGGCCCGGACCAAGCGGCAACCTCCAGCTATAATGACTGAAGCCAATGTAGAAGTAACTTAAACCTGCATTATTTCTAACCACTAGCAGGGGGCGAATTCTGTGGCTGCAAGAAGAAGTTGGTTTCATTAGAAACAAGGGTAAAATGACCCTACTTCTCAACTTATTTATTACTTCAGTAAATACTTTCCTAATGAGTTTGTGATCTCAATCGTTAGTTTCAAGTCTTCTTCAATACAGCATAATATTAATTTCATAAATTATGGTCCCATTTAGAGGAAAACAGATGATGAAGCAGGGTATGATTTGGGGAGGGATTACCTCGCGATTGACAAGTCGCAACCATGGCGACCTGTCAATCAGGATAGAGGCGATTGTATCCACTGCACTGTATAAATTTAACCAGCGCTGTTGAAAAAGCTTATTAGGAGTCGGCTTTTCATTTTTCCTGATAAGTGCGTTTTGTTTTAAGCCCGTTTTTAGCTAGCCAAGATTAGCATCCCGGTTAAAATCACAGTTAACGTGAATTACAGATGCACAAAGCAAACCAAGCTTGCTAGAGTCACAGTCTCGTCCAAATAGCCTGGTTACAAAAAAAATTGACTGACTGCCAGGCTTCAAAACGGTAGTCCACAGACCAACAGGTGACACCACGGTGACTGTGTACCAGAGGTGGGAGTAAGTCACACTTGTTCAAGTCACAAGCAAGTCCCAAGTTACTGTGATGAAAGTCAAACCAAGTCAAGTCAAGTCATTCTTAGGTCAAGCAAGTCACAAATCAAGTCATATGAAATTCTAAGGAATTCAGTTTGTTTAAACAGCAATTCAACTATATGATCATTTTGGAAGATGTAATGAATGTTTCTTTTTTTTTCTATATTGAACTATACACAAAGGTGTTCCTGTTATTTAGTGTACTATTGGCTTCACTGATTATTGAATAGTGTAATAAAACATGTTGGAATGTTGGAATCAGTCTCAAGTCTAAGTCAAGTCTTAAGTCATGAATAACAAGTCAAAGTCAAGTCGTTTGTCTGTTTTAGTCAAGCAAGTCTCAAGTCTTCAAATTTGCGACTCCACCTCTGCTCTGTACACTTCTTTTATACAGTCTATGGCCTTGGAGTCCTTTAAAGTGGTCATATTATGCTAATTTTCAGGTTCACAATTTTAATTAGGGGTTGTACCAGAACAGGTTTACATGGTTTCATTTTTAAAAAACACCATATTTTTTGTAGAAGCAGAGTGGGGCGGGATCTGAAAAGCCGGTAAACACAGCTTCGGTTCAGATGTATATGTTTCCCTTACCAGCTTAGCAACACTGACAAACGAGCTATTTTCAGGCAGTTCAGCGCAGTGTTTTCTGTGGGAGATGGGAACTCCCTTTGGATTGGACTAGGGCTGTAGCTAACAATGATTTTAGTATTCGAAGCGTCTATAGATTATTTCAACGATTCATTGATGCGTCGTTTAAGAAGTACTTTTGCTTGGCGGCGGCAGCTGTGCACGTTTATAGGTGATAGATATTTATTAGTCCTTTCGGAAATTCATAGTGTGTCATACAGCAAACATCAGACGAACAACCAGATAGCTGCTTTACAAACACAAAAATCACCCGAGTGCTATATAAGCTAAAGGCTCGTGCAAGACTACACGACTTTCAGCGTTGACGGATGGCCGTGCCGTTCACACAACTTGCCGTAATATGACGGCAGTCTTGAAGTCGTTGTGGCGTTCAAACTACGTGACTGATCGGTGACAGGGGGTAACACCCACTACAGGAGATGACAACAGCTATGGCACCTGACGCTGGTTTCCAAACCACTTTTATCAAGAAAACACACATGAAATGTGAAACGAGAAATGAGCGATCCTACACACGAAACAGCTGTTGTTTGTTATTATAAAGACAAAGAATATGGTTGAAAGGATGGATTAGTACACGCAGGTTGCAGGGATTGTCTGAGCTACACAGAGAACTGCAGGAGAGTTAAAAGGTGCAGCTCCCCGACACCCAGTTAACTCTTGACTGTTAGGTTAAGTTACAACTCACGGCCCAAAAAGGAGAACAAAAGCACGTGTGCACATTTTCAGCTGAGGACTGCGGCTTACTTTGGCTAGCCTTCAACTCAACAATCAGTCATGATTTTAGTTAACTGCTAAAGTTGCTATTACTGTTACCTTGTCTGTGGTCCGCTGGCAGAACACCGGCTGCTTTTTGTTCAGCTGCCGTCGTGCTGTTCCCAAGACGACAAAAGTTTCGTTTTACGGTGGACGGACGGTAACATTACAGAGTTGTTGTTTTCTTTAGCTTGAAATAATCCCATACTTTGGACGCTTTTTGTCCCTTACTGTTTTCTCTCTCTTCCCCCACTTTGCAAACAACTCCATCATAATCACGTCGTGTTCACAGCGTGCATATATATATAAATAACTCAATAAAGAAGAGCGGAAAACCCAAAAAGCATAATATAACGTCTTTAATACTGAGTCTGATCCACTACTCATATTTATCTAAATACTGACTGTAATAACAGCTGTAGTCTGCTAAATCTGACACCTCTTATTTGTATCAAGCTACTTGATCCAAATACTGAAGGTCCTAGTTAAAAATATTCAGTTTATAAGCTTAAATGTTTGATATTATATGAATGAAAGGTTAACTGGGAGAATGCAACTCATAAGACTGACAAGACGCAATAAGCTAGAGAGCAGACGTATCACTCTGTTGGATTTGTTGAAACTACAGAAGCATTCATCCCACTCATGATTGTAACAGTGGCGTTAGTGCCAAATACCGATCCTTAAGATCGGCTGTAAAATGTCTCAATATTATCTAATTTTAAAGCTTTTTTTTTTATTATTATCTAATTTAAACTGACATTATTTATACACTTTTATGCAAATATGGGGCACTGTTTCTTAAACATGTGCCATGGAGGGCTGAGAACATTTCATGAAGATGAAAGACAGAAAAATAAACGTAACAACACAAAAAACTGAAGGCCAGCTAATCATTGAAAATTTGCATCACATATTTTTGATATTCTTCTGAAACGCTGACAGTCTTATAATATGCAACCCTCAAGAATGGAGAAGATGTAAAATATATGTTAATAATCTTACTCCAGATCAATAGAAAACAAATTTCTATTGATAAAAACAGTAATGACTCTCTCTGCTGATTTGAGTACCTCTGTGTTGTCAGGTAGTATCATTGTTTGTGTGTTCTCAGTGTTACTGTGTCCTTTGTGTATTGTGTTATTTAAGTGGCAGAGCACACATGGTACTGTCATTGTGTTTTATGCGAGCGTGTGTTCGTACCCGTCTGTGTGTGTGGTGACATGCCATTGGTAAAGACAGAACAACCAAAACCTTATCGGGCAAAAAGGCAGTGACTGAGCACGTACAGTGGAGCCCCCACCCCACCCAATCACATTAAGTGATGTCACAGAGATGTACATGATGTCACGGACTGTCACCAAAGGTTGTTAGACCACTCCACAGCCAAGCACTTTCCAAGATCCATCTACACGTGTGCGCGCGCACACACACTTTCAATCATATCTGTCTAATCTATGAGCGTGTCATCATGTAGATTAGAGAAGAGGAGTCGTTTGTACAGTATATGGACTCCTGTCAGTGTCCAACACAATTTCCAGTTTAACCTAATGGAGAAATGGAGGTCGTTCAGGAGATTGAATGACCTTTATGTCCCACCAGCAATG